ACCACGTGGAACTTGTCATGGCCTGGTTTGTTCACCTCAAAATGTGAAATAACAGCATCAATCTCTCGGCCGCTAGGAGGCCTGTAAACTTTGCTGTCTTCGCACAGAGTCAGTTCCGCAGGCTGAGAAGCACCGCGGAACCCCCAGAGAGTCAAGTAGTTGTCGACCTCCGAGAAGCGAATGCCATCACCGAAAGGCTTACTGAGGATCTCTGTCACGTTGATCCCTGCTCGGCGAAAGCCTTCACGGAACGCACCGACCTCGCAGCCACAGACAATATCAGCATCAGCGGTCTCCACTATCGTGGCGCACACCCTTCCGAAGTTAGCGCAGTGAGTGGCCGCCTGCTTACCAGTCATCATGCCCTGCTCGAACCCGAAATTGAACGAGGCGACCGTGAAAGACGCAGGCTGCACAGCGCCAGAACCAGGCGTCTGTCCACCTTCCTCCGCAGGCTGAGAAGCACCGCGAGGCGGCGCAGGCTGAGAAGCACCGCGAGGCGGCGACACTTCGGACGAGCCTCGCGGAGCAGAGGCTGCGGATGAACGTTGGATATGGGGGTACGGCCAGGGGAACGCCATTGCAATCGAAACTCAGTGGACTGCAGTGAGTGAATGCAGTGGCACGATTGAATGCAGTGGACTGCAGTGTCACTAGCAATTCCTGAACCAAACACGGCTGTGGCGGAAGGACTACGAAGCGTCTGGCTATTCAAAATGTGGCCCGGGAATGGAGTTCTGGGATCTCGAAGACCACGAAGTGGACTACAGTTGGCTCCGGGCATCCAAAATGTGGCCCAGGAATGGAGTTCTGGGAACTCGAAGAGCACGAAGTGTGTGACTGTTGCATCCGGCCCTCCAGAATGTGGCCCGGGAATGGAGTTCTGGGAACTCGAAGAGCACGAAGTGTGTGACTGTTGCATCGGCCCTCCAGAATGTGGCCCGGGAATGGCGTTCTGGGATGTCGAAGAGCACGAAGTGTGTGACTGTTGCATCCGGTTATTCTAAATGTGGCCCGGGAATGGCGTTCTGGGATCTCGAAGAGCACGAAGTGTGTGACTGTTGCATCCGGGTATTGAGAATGTGGCCTGGGAATGGAGTTCTGGGAAGTCGAAGAGCACGAAGTGTGTGACTGTTGGTGAAAAACGAGCCCGGCACCTGCCGCCCGGCAACTCCCAACACCTGCCCGGACCCCCCTGTGGAGTGATCTGCTGCTCTCTTTTGATCCCACTAGAAACCTATCAGTCTTCGCTGTTAGGTAACAAAATCTGTATTCTTCCGTAGGTTTTTCGAAGATTTTGGAGCGGTCTCCGACGGCCCAAGACGATCCAAGAGGCCAGCAAGATCGCCCCAAGAGCGCCCAAGAGGCCTCCAGTATGGCCCCAGGGCGGTCCAAGAGGCCCCCAAGACGGCCCGAAGACTGCCCAAGGGGCCTCCAAGACGCCCAAGATGGCCTCCAAGACGGCCAAGATGGCCCCAAGAAAACCAAGTGTTGATTCAAGATGTTTCCAAAAACGGCCCAATATGCACTCAAGATTGCCCAAGATGGCCTCAAGAAGGCCCAAGACGGCCCCAGAGGCCCCCAAGAGGCCGCCAAAACGTGCCAAGAGAGGTCACCAAAGAGCAAAATTCATACATATTCTTTCGGAGTTTGAAGGGTTTTGGAATCTGCTGCTTTTCGGTCCTCCGACGGCCCAAGACGGTCCAAGAGGCCATCAAGATCGCCCCAAGAGCGCCCAAGAGGCCTCCAAGATGGTCCCAGGACGGCTCAAGACGTCCTAAGAGGCCTCCAAGACGCCCAAGATGGCCGCCAAGACGGCCATGAAGCGCCCCAAGATGGCCCCAAACTGGCTCAGAAAACCCAAGACGGCCAAAGAGGCCCCAAGAGGCGCCTAAAGGCCCCCAAGAGACACCCAAGAGGCCCCAAGAGAGCCCAAAATGGGCCCAATGTGGCATCCAAAGCGGCCTCAGGATGCCTCAAGACCGCCAAGATGGCCCAATCGAGCCCAAGAGAGCCTCAAGAGGCTCCGAAGAGGCCTCCTCCTCCCTTCTTTGTTCCTCAATATCTTCCTCTTCCTCGACCACGTGTTCCCCGAAGGCGTTCCAAACAAACTCGGGGAACGAACACATGTTCCGATAGTTTGGCCAAGCTCTAATCAACTTTCAGCCACATAGGCGCTTCCACGAAGGCAGAGGGCGGCGGTGATTCGCCGTAGACGTCTTCGATCTCTTACTGTTTGGGGTCCACGCTGGCTGAAATTCGCATGATTACCCTTCTTATTGCGATTGACACTCCTTCCGCTCCTCCTCCTCCTCCTCCTCCTCCTCCTCGCTGCCCCTTCTGTCCGTCCTCCTCCCCAAGCTCCTCGGACGGCCCCCGTTTCCCTTCCCCCATCATCCCGCTCATCATGCTTCTGCCCCTTCTCTCTCTCCTCCTCCTCCTCCTCCTCCTCCTCCTCCTCCTCCTCCTCTTCCTCCTCCTCCTCGTCCTCCTTCTCCCACAGCTCCTCGTACGGCCCCCGCTCCCGCTTGCCACATCACACTCTGGCTCCCCTCTCTCTCTCCCCCCCCCCCCTCCCTCTCTGCATCCCACCCCGACCAGCTCCGTCCTCCGCCCCCCGTCTGTGGCCCATCGTCCACCCCCCAGGCCCCAGGATACCAGGCATCGGGGTGGAGTCGGCTCCCATCTGCTGTTCGCATCTGAGACTAGTGGACCTATAATTAAGTCGGGCGTGTCCCCCCACAGGGGGATGTTCGACGAAACATTAAACAAAGAAGACTCCCAGATTGTTCAAGACATACTCCACAAATAGTCCCCAGACCAGTTTTTGATTACTATTCCTCCTGTAGAGGGACAGGCCCGACTTAAACCTATAAATCTCTTCTGGTGGCCGGGCGCTCGCAAACCACAACCTCATCCTTTCCCGCATCTCTGCCCGCTGACCTGCCTTCTCGCGTCCCTCCACCCCCGATGACGAGGAGAGCAACCCGACGAATCGCTCCACGCGACGCTGGGTTCGCGCTGGCCCTCTAGTGTTAGCGGCAGGCGATCGCCAGCCTCACCACCGTCGCGAAGGCCCTCGAATGACTTGGAGGCCCTTCCCAGCAGCTGGATGGCAGATCCCGAACTGGGCGTCAGATGCAGTAACGGCGAGGTTCGTGCTCTGTCGTCGGTGGGGCCTGGGGGACAGGAGAGATGGAAACAAACCTGAGCGAAAGTCCATCTCGTGGGGCTAGAGACTGCGAGCGCCAGCCCTCCTCTTTCTCCTCATCCTCATCATCACGATCCGAATTAAACTATTAATCGTAATCAGCATGATCAACATCAGCAGCAGCAGCAGCATCATCGTCATCAGCATTATCATCACCATCGTCATAACCATCATCACCACCACCATGACCATCCTCATTTTCATCCTCAACCTCATCATCAGCCGCATGGCCATCATCATCCTTATCCTCATCCTCATCCTCATCATCAGAAGCATCATCACAACCATCATCATCATCATCATCATCATCATTAGCATCATCATCATCATACTCAGCATCATCATCATCCTCAGCATCACCATCATCAGCCTCATCATCAATCCTCGTCACAGTCAGCAACCGCATCATCAGCATCATCATCAGCATCATCATCACCATTACCATCATCATCATCATCGGCATCATCATCACCGTCGTCATCAAAACAATTAGCATCCTCGTCATCGTAATCGTCGTCCTCATCCTCATCCTCATCCTCACTATCACCCTCATCCTCATCCTCGCCCTCATCATCATCGTCATCAGCAGTGTCATCATCATCATCATCATCATCACCAACATCATCGGTAGCATTACCATCACCATCACCAGCACCATCATTATCATCAGCAGCATAATCATCATGAGCATCACCATCATCATCATCACCATGATCATCACCATCATCATCACCATCATCATCATCATTGTCATCAAAATCATCCTCATTCCCAAACTCATCCACATCATGACCCTCATCCTCATCCTCATCCGCATCCACATCACCACCGCCCCCATCATCATCATCATCATCATCATCAGCAGCAGCAGCATCATCCTCGCCATCATCCTTATCATGATCATCATCGTGATCATCATCAGCATCATCATCAGCAGGACCATGATAATCAGCATCATCATCATCATGAAGTCATCGTCATCCTCATCACCATCATCATCACCATCAGCATCATCAGCATAAGCATCAGCATTAGCATTATCATCATCGCCATCGCCATCACCATCATCAGCAGCAGCAGCATCAGCATGGGCATCAACATCAACATCACCATCACCATTAAGCAGCACCATTATCATCATCAGAACAACGACATCATAACCATCGTCATCATCATCATCATCACCGTCATCCGCGACCTTCTTTTCTTCCTCCTCATCCTTTAAGCAGGGTCCTCCTCATCCTTTAAGCAGGGGAGACATGTGCACCAGGAAGCCGCTGTGAAAGGTCATGCATCAGGGCGACGCGCCAGCTGCCAGCCAGCTCAGCAGCGCGAGGCTCCCATGTGTGGTCACGACAGACGAGCGACGAAGAAAATGGGAGTCTTACGGATGAGGACACTTCCACCTTTAAGCGACAACTTCAGCAGGACAACGCAGCGCACTGCGAAGAGGACGTTTACGCGCGGCGTTGCGCAGGCAACGTACGCACGAATGTCCGCTCAATCGACCCCGCTTTCTGCGTCGTTCAGATGGACTCGGCTCAGTCGCTCAATCCCTCACCTAGTAACAACTCTGAGACCTCCCACCCTCGCGGCCAGCCCGTGCAACTATTCCCCCCAACAAACAACCAGACAAGCGCTTGCTCTGATTACCAGCTGGAATCACGAAAACAAGAAAACGACTGCGGCCGCCCCGTCTCTTCCCTCCCACGTCTCCTGGCGGTCTCTGGAGGACCACCCAAACCTCGATCCACGAACCTCCACCTCCCACCCCGTTGTTCCAAGACCGCGCACCCCCAGCGCCGTGCACCAGAGACGCCGGCCACGTCACGAAGCTCGCGCTCGGCACGTAGCTGCCCGCAACGAGCGCCTCGGCCCCACAGATCATGCACTTCTTCTCCTGCCGGGGCTGGGACCCTCACAATGCTCGAATCGGTCGGTCGAATGCACTTCTTCTCCCCATGCACTTCTTCTCGAATCGGTCGGTCGAACGGGACCCTCACAATGCACTTCTTCTCCTCATGCTCGCATCGGTCGGTGACACTACAATCCGGGCGACGACTGAGGAAGGATTGCCTCGATAGCCTCAGCCAACCTTCGAGCAGCACCTCGAGCGAGCCCCCGGCCGGCACTATCAGCGCCTCGTGCACGCGGCTGGGCCAGAGATGCGATCGGAGGATTTTTCATGACAGGCGCGGCTGCGGATGGTGTGGATCGTTCAGAGTGGGAGTGCCTCTTTCGGAAACGGTAGCTGAGGCCCACGATGCCCCACGCTGGTGTATAGCTACATGTGTGCACCCCCTGGAAGGAAACGATCCTCCTCACCTTTCTAAGTTGGTCTCGTTTTTGGGGGTCAGGGACCCACTGAAGCAGCCTCGGCCTCGAAAGAACGGCGCCGGGTCCGTGGGCCAAGACCCGAACCTTTGAGCTGGCAAGACTGGAGGCAAGACTTAGGGGCAATTAAGGCTGGCACGCACACACACACACACAAACCAAGGGATCTGGAAGAGTCGCTCGCGCCCAGGGGGAAGGGCGGGAACGGGCAGACCAGGAAAGAAGAGAAAGAAAAAGATGTAGGAGGACTGGTACGAAGATGAAGGGAGGGAGGATGTGGAAGAGGTGGATCATCAAGAGGGAGGGCGGGCGGGGGCATGCAGAAGGCACGCAACGGCAGAGGAGGGCACAACTAGAACAAAGGAGGAAGAAGGGCGGAGAGACGGCACAGGAGGAGGATGGACGAGTCAGCTGGAAGGGAGAACTCTGCATCTGTAGAGAAAGGAAAAACCGTATGCACATGAACTTTTGGCGCTCCGCGCGGTTTTTCGGGATCTGCGCTGGACCCCCCTCCCTGGCGCGCGGAGCGCACCGGGGGCGGCGACGGAGGCGCCGCCAAGGGGCCCCGGCGCGGATCCAAGGAATCCGCACGGAGCGCCACAAATTTATGTTGGTGCCGTGTTTCCCCTCTTCGAATCTGACCTGCCCTGCCTCCCGCGCTGCCTTGTCGGAGCAGGGCGCGCAGAATCTGAACAGCGAGTACGTGGTGAGGGCCGGCGTGCGGCAGCAGCCGCACTCCTTCGAGGTCGGCTCGGCCTGCTGCGGCCGAGAGGAGGGCGCGGAACAGGGAGGATGAGGAGGATCCTCCTCCTCCTCCGCCGCCTCCTGCTCCCCCTCTTCCTCCTCCTCCTCCTCCTCCTCCTCCTCCTCCTCCTCCTCCTCCCCCTCCTCCTCCTCCTCCTCCTCCTCCTCCTCCTCCTCCCCCTCCTCCTCCTCCTCCTCCTCCTCCTCCTCCTCCGCCTCCTCCTCCTCCTTCTCCTCCTCCTCCTCATGGATTGCGGGGACGAGCGAAGATGATGACGGGGAAGAGGAAGAAGCAAACGTCAGAGCCGTGCACAATCTCTCCGGGTGCCCGCCCGTGCCCGTGGATGGCGTGGAGGCTGCGGCCCGGAGCATGTGGTGCGCGGGCGGGAGGAGGAGGAGGAGGAGGAGGAGGAGGCGGAGGAGGAGGAGGAGGAGGAGGAGGAGGAGGAGGAGGAGGAGGGGGAGGGGGAGGAGGGGGAGGACGCACGTTAGTAAAGGGGCCCTGGGACACACAATTAAATACACACAAGCAACAGGATTCACCATATTCTCACATATGTTCGGGGTTTTTCTGTTCCCCCCCACTTCCCATATTGCCCATATTGTCCCAGGGATCGACGATGAATTGTGTCTCTGTGTGTGTGTGTTTGTTCCCCTCCTGATGTTAGGGGGACTCACGGGACGGATGGAAAGAGGGAGAAAGAGGGATGAGCAAGACCAGGACAAACGGAACACACGAGAACGGGCAGGAGAAGGTGGCGGAGGCGGGCGAGGACGACGAGAGGGCGGGGAAGAGAGAGGAGGGGCAGAGGATGAGGAGGGGCACTCATGTCGAGGCAGTCAGACGAGGATGAGACTGGCAATGATGAAGGTGCCTCCAGCCTCGGGGAGGACGAGCAATGCTGCGGTGATACCTGCATTGGAGTACCACCGCCTTCCGTGTCAGCCCCGCTGGCTGCACGAGCAAGGAGACACCTCATTCAGGGGCGCGCCACTGTCTTCGCGGCACCCACGCTGCCCTCATGTGCGTCTAAGCGTGACTACTCGCCAGTGGGGCACGCGTACCCTGGAAACTGGAGCACGCACGCACACACAAGGCTAGATTCGTGTGGAACGTAAGGAGGCCACGCGTCAGATGCACACACGCACGCACACGTGGCGGGCCGGCGTAGTCACCCAGCCACGCGTGGGCCGAGCACTGCACACAGACATGCGGCAACAGGTAGACTCATCTCTCGCACAGGCCGGCCGCGTCATGTGCACCCAACTTTCCTGACAGCTCTCCCGATAGCAGGCGCACTCCCGCTTGGAACGTCGTGTTTCTTAATTGCTCTGGGGCATCGTGGGCATCATAACCCCCAGCCCCCCGTCCCCCCCCCCCCTTATGACGAAATTTCCCTCCCCCCCCAGTGCGCTCGGGGCACTGCTGCTGTGCGCACGGAGGGGGGGAAGCGTTACATTATACCCCCCCCTGACCTCCCCACCCCTATAATGCCCAGTTTCGCCGAAAATGAAGAAACGCGCTGTTGGAGAACCCAAAACATTTCTTCACAACAAAAGCGGAACCCGTAAGAAACGGGATGCCGCCTGTCCGCTGTCCGCAATGGGCTTCAGGTGCCCGCATGCTGAAAATGCCTTGCGACCACAGAGAATTATAGACTCGAGTCACGAAACAAAACCAGGGCCGACGCGCCTCCAGGACGTCACGAGAACTGGGCCGAGCCGCCTCGAGGTCGGTGTGAAAGTGTGCCAGCACCCTCGCGGACAGCGAGGACGGACCCGAGCCAGCTCGCCTCGAGGTCGGACTCGACGTGCCGATGTGCTCTGCGCGACCGGGCAAGCACACAGACCTGTCGGCCGACACAGTGAGTGAACGCGGCCAACGCCGCGAAGCAAAGAACAGCTCTGGCCGCTGCCCGGGCGGCTCACGCCTGGCCGCGCTGCTGAGCGGCCCGTGCGGCGCGGCGCGCGCACGGCCCTGCCGCGCTCCTCGGGCGAACGCACCGCCTCGCACGCACCAGGGCCCCGCCCGCCGCGCCCATGGGCAGCCTCCTGCCTCGCGACGTCTCCCGGGTGGCCGCGTCTCCGCTGGTCCGCACCGTCCTCTCCGCGGCGGCCCTGTCTATCTCCGCTGCCTCCGCGACCGTCGCCGCTGCCGCGCCCCTGTCCCAGAGGCCTCCCGCATGGGGTCGGAGTAGGTGGGGTCGACGATCGCGCTGCATCGCTGATGCATCGCTGATGTACCGTCGATGCGTCGGCCATGCGTCCGCGACGTCGGCGAAGCATCGGCGATGTCGGCATGGAGAAAGTCGGGCTCCACGTCGAGCCGCATCGCCGATGCATCGGCGGTGCGGCACGATCCTCCGACCCCTTCTGCTCGGACCCCGTCCGGGAGCCCTGGCTCCCCGCAACCTCCGTGATTCAGGCTGGCGATCGCCGGAGCTGCGCCTCCCAGGAGGCACCGGGCCCCGCGCGAGGGAGCGCTGGTCTTAGGTCGGGCGCGTCCCCCTGCAGAGGGATCTTGGGCGAAAAAAGAAAAATACCCCCAAAGTGCCCCGAAAATGGTAAACAAGAAAAAGTGCTCGAAAAATCGTCCCCTGACTATTTTTGCTGCTGCTTCTCCATCGCAGCGCAGAAGGGGGCGAGAGCCTCCCACCCGCCTAGAGGCCCCGGCGGCGGGGGCGGAAGGGCGAACCGGGGTTGTCCTGGCCGCTCAAGTTCCCCCCCGTAGAGGGGCAGGCCCGACTCCACGCTGGCGTCAAGCAAAGAGCCCCGCCGCGGCGCCCCCCGCGTGGCCCCCCGGCGCGCGTGCGTGCGGGGCTCTCCCGCTGCGCTCTCGCCGCCGACGGGCTCCCGTCGGACCCGGGCCCCTCCCGCCGGCACCGCCGGGGCGACCGAGGCCGAAGCGGCGGCCCATCGTGAGGTCGGGCACGTCTCCCTACATTTGTGAAGGGGAACTGGAACACACAAATAAATACACACAAATAAAGATATCCCCCATATTTTCCCATATTTTCTGGGTTTTTGTCTTCCCCACCACTTCCCATATTTTTGCATATTTTCCTGGGAGTCGACGATTAATTGTGTCTGTGTGTTTCTTTCCCTCCTGAATTTGGACGACCGAACTGGGTACGGAAAGAATGGGCAAAATGCCCAACAGCAAATGTTGTCCCAAAGCAACAGCGGCCGCTGTTGGGCCGGCGGTCTTCTGTCTCGAATGGACACAGGCCGCGGCGGCGTGGACAGCGAATCCTGTTCAAAATGAACAGGAACTCCTGTTGAGCATTGCACCCATTCTTTCCGTACCCATTTCGGGCGTCCAGACTACAGGGGGATTCTCGACGAAAAATAATAAACATACTTCCAAACATGCTCAGGAGATGCCCCAACATACTAAAACAAAAGCAGTCCCCAAACTATGTTTGGACTATTCCTGAGTTCCCCCCCTGCAGAGGGACAGGCCCGACTTAAAAGCCCACCGATCCACTCATCGAGCTCAGGCCTGCCAGTGGCCGCTGAGGAACCCAAGCTTGAATCATTCGCGACAGCGCCCGTTACCGGCCTCTTCTGCCTCCTTCCCGCCCCCTGTGACGTCACGACTCGCGAAGAAGCGCCGTCGGGGCATCCAGCAGTCTCCAGCGACTCCCGCGGGCATCGTCCGACGGCGGCGGCGCGATCAGACGCCGCTACACTGTCGCCCGTGGCCCGCCCCCCAGCACCGCCCGCATCACCAGAGGGTAAAAAGTACAGGGCAGTTTTTAATACATGGGATTTTTTAATATAGGATTTTAATACATGATTGAATTTATGCATGAACGCATCGTTGTTTTTAATTCCAAATCCCTGTATTTTAGTACATGATCCGCACGCGGAGCATGTATTAAAAACGGCACTGTAGTCTCCAGTGGCCGCAGCCTTAACATCGCCGAGGCCTCAACTCGCCAAGCCCATCCCTGGCTCCAGGCTCGCCGGCGGGGCGAGGCCGAGGGAGGGGCCTGCAGGCCCAGGCGGAGTGGACGGGGTGCACCAACGCCCGCGGGCTCCTCCTGCCGCGTCGCCTTCGCCCCTGCCGCGGCGAGCAACTCCGCCTCGCGATCCTGCTGACTGCCAAAGGGCCGAACCTGCCGTGTGGCCCGTAGGTAAGCCGATTGGGAAGAGAGAAGAGAACCCTTTTCCCATGCGCCGCGGGATGAGCGGCGCGAGTGCTGTCCCATAGGGCTGTCGAATACCTGAGCCTGGACGGTAGCAGGATAGATGGATAGACAGGTGATGTGAGCGGACTTCACACACAAATCCGTCCCCGCGTCTTCGGCTCCAAGCTCCGTGCTCTCGCCATCGGTCCCGTCTGGACGGGCTCCGCCAAGCCGCCGCGGACACCGGTGCCCTGGAGTCCGGCTGCATCGCGGCCCGTCAATTCCCTCGTCGCGCTCGTGCGCGACTGGGCCTCTGCGCGCGCGTCCGTGCCCCAAGAGGCTGGGAGGAGGAGCTCCCCGCCCCATCGCTCCGCTCGTCCCACGCAGTCGGGGTTCCCTCGGGCCAGTGTGAGGTCGGGCATGTCCTCCTCCAGGAGAATTTTGCGCGAAGAATAAAATCGCTCCCAGACTATTGTTTGCCTAGTTGTGGCTACTATAGAAGGACAGGCCCGACCAAAGGCCAGTCCTGAGGCCAACGCGGCGCCACACGCGTCGCTTTACGCTGCGGTGCGCCGCCCTGTGCAGCCGCACCCTGCTGCTCCTTGCTGTGCGGAGCCCCGCCTGGGCCTGCGGGCTGGCAGGGCTTGGGCCAACATGCCGAAGCACCGCGGAGACGATGAGGGCGGGGGGGCGGGGAATCCCCGGAGATCCAAGGCATTGAAACAAGCAAGGCAGAGGTTGTTCTCAACTCTTGGCCTCTATGGGCCCTCGCCAGAACCCGGGACTGTCAAGAAACGGGTACCCATCGGTCGGAAGAAGTAGGTAGAAACATGAAGTAGGAAGGCGTTGGAAATAGATTGGGTTTCCGCACTCCTCCTGAAGAGGAAGGAAGAGGGAACACCACTCGACTCTTGAAGTAGGAAGGCGCTGAAAGTAGATTGGAATCTGGGAATCCAAAAATACCTACTTTCAACGACCGATGGGTAAGGATGAAAACCCGGTCCTGGGGAATGGGTCGAGACTTCTGGGGACCCCTTTATCGAACAGTATCTCAACATCGGATCTCTGGGCCCGAGGAGCGGGACACGCCTGGCGAGGAGAGAGGTGCGCGCGCCTGCTTCGCCCGCTTGTGGCTGCTGTCGTGCAGCTGGCAGAACCTGCGCGGGAGCACGCGGCGAACCCCGGTTAGGCCCCGGGGCGGCGGCCGAGCCGGTCGGAGCTTCTGGCTCGAGGGGCCGAAGACGGTCGGATGCTGGCTTGGTCCTCCATGTTGCCCCTCCTCCTGCTTAGCCTCCTGCTAAATCCTGAAATCCTCCGTCGGCTGCACGTCCTGATCCTGCGATACGCCGAAAATGCGGTGCAAAGCAATGCTATGATGAACCCCCCACAACTCACAGCAGTCCGGAGGAACGACTGGCTGCGTGGCTCGACGCAATGCAATGCAAAGGGATGCACCGCAAGTCAGTACAACCAACGAACTGCACCAGGAGAAAAGAAGTCCGTCGCTCTACGAGGCCACGACCTGAGCTGGGCTTCGCGGCATACTCAGCCCAAGCATCTACACAAATACCTTCCAGGACTGCCCACCTGATCCCCAGAATCGCCGATAAGTCGACCCGCCTGCACAAGTAAGCCGACCGACGCGACCAACAATCTGGGGGAGGAAAGGAGCCACCTCCGGCGATTCGTAGCTACATCGATCGATGCTGCCGCTGCGCGCGGGCGCTGGCATGCGAACGTGCACGTCGGTCGGGAGACGTAGGCAGCAACATGGGGCAGGATGTAGATTGAGCCGTGTGCGCGCACGCACATTTTTAAAAATCTGCTCAACAGGTCGCACCGTGGCTGAGGAGAGGAGGAGGGCAGCAGGATGGAAGGGAGGAAGAGAAAGGGGGGAAAACAGCAGCATCAGCAGCCAGCGCAACGTACACGGAAGCAGCAAAGGGTGTGCGCGCACGTAGAACAAATCCTTCAACAACTATTGGGCTCAGCCCGCCGCTTCGCAGCGCCAACAGCGTAGGTGGCTCTACTCCCCTGAAATCCGCCGACTCCAGCTTGCCAGAGGCGAAAAAGGCGGAGGCGTGAGACATTTGGCTGTCCCCTTCCCCCTTTCCCGCTCCCCTGGGATCCAACATGCTGTCTTTTTTGGGGGGGGGGGGAGGGAAGCTTTTTTTAGGGGGGAGGGGGGGGGGGGGGGGACGAACTCTCCAACGCGCCCCATGGGGCCTCCAGAGCCTCCCAAGGAGCCCCAGAGAGCCGAGAGGCAGAGCGCCGACCAGACCGTCCGAGAGAGCGCCAGGGCGGCGCAGGGGTAGCCCCACGACGCTCCCAGAGGGCTTCAGGACGGCCCACGAGACGCCCAAGACGCCCTAAGAGTGCTCCAGGAGGACAGCCGAGAGGGCCCCGCGGAGCAAAAATCGCCCCCTCGCCTTCGGGCGCCGGTAATGTTCGACGCGCTCGCCTGTGTGGAGCCCACGGCGCCCACGACGGCCCGAGGTCGGCGGCGAGCGCAGGGGAGAAGTGGTGAGAAGGGGCGGGCCTTCTCAGAGGGCTCGGCAGCCCCCCCGGCCTTCTGAGAAGTTTTCTGAGCCCTCCGCGAAGACACAGGAGCCTTCCCAGAAGGCGCGAGGGCTCCTGAGAAGCACCGCCGCCCTCTGAGAAGGCCTTCTCCTTCTCCCTTCCACCCCCTCGCCCGCCGCTGACAAGGGGCCACCAAGATCGTCGCAAGACGGTCCGTGCGGCACCCCAAAAGGCCCCTAAGATTAAGTCGGGCGTGTCCCCCTACAGGGGAATTTCCAACGAAAAAGAAAACATACCCCAACAGAGACTCCAACATGGTCAAAACATAAGCATAGTCCCCAGACTATTGTTTGAGTATTTTTGGATATTCCTCCTGTAGAGGGACAGGCCCGACTTGACGCAAGACGGCCCGTGCGGCACCCCAAAAGGCCCCTGAGACGGCCCAGGAGGGCCCCCCAGACAGCCGCCGGGGGGGCCCCCGGGACGGCCCCGAGGGAGGCCCCGAGAAGCGCCCCAAGAGGGGGGCGAGGCGAGGCCACACGAACCGACAGTTCTCGAGCCGTTCCTTAGGTCGGGCATGTCCCCCTGCAGGCGGATTTTGGACGAAAAATGCAAAATACAGGCCTCGGTAAAAATTAGCGAACACTCATGCCACACTCGTCTGTGAACGCCTCCCCCTTCCCCCAATGTTCAAAGTTGGCGGTGGGTCTGATGAGTTGCACCTCGACCGCAGTGTCCCCCCCGCGTGCCAACTTTGAGTTTGGGGGGCAAGGGGGGTGTTCACTAATTGTTTCCCTCTACCGTAGCCAAAACATACTCGAACATAGCCAAGAAGAATAGGAACATCGTCCTCCGACCATTTGCTGACTCTTTTTGAATACTCCTCCTGTAGGGGGGCATGCCCGACTTAAGCCTTTCCCTTCTGATGGCGCTCCGGAAGCGCCCCAGAGGCCTTACAGCCGCCCCCAAGAGGCCCCCAAGAGGCCGCCAAGAGGCCTCCAAGAGGCTCCCATGATCGGAGAGACGTAAGACTCGGTTTCGGGGGACTCGGGCCAGCTTGACGCCACGGGGCCATCAGGAAAATGTCGAGGCCAAGTCTGAAACTTCACGCGAGCTCCCGCTGCAAACATGCCACGAAAACTAGACCGTCAAACGCCAGGATGCGCTCGTCAAGAAGCGTCGGTAAACCCGAGTTCAGGCGTACTCGTGCCTTACGTTTCCCCGACACGAGGCTCCCTGGAGGCCCCCAGGAGGCTGCAACTCCCAAGCGCCCCCCACGGGCATCCAGAGAGAGATTGTTCTATGCATCCGACAAGGGACATTCCACGATCGTGGCAGTCTCTCACGCCTGCTGTGGGGTGTCTGCGGACTGGCGCAGACCACTTGAGTAGAGAGCCCGCTTTGGCGGCGAACGAGGGGGGGCAGTGAGAAGGAGAAGGCCTTCTCAGAAGGCGGCGGGACTTCTCAGAAGCCCTCGCGCCTTCTGAAAAACTTTCTGCGTCTGCGGGGAAGGCTCAGAAAATGTCTCAGAAGGCCGGGGGAGCTTCCGAGCCTTCTGAGAAGGCCCGCCTCTTCTCTCGGGAGCGGCCAAGCGGGGGGTGTCCAGGAGGGGGGGTGCAAATCATGGCCCGCTGCATGTGCGCGGTCCAAGGGGGGGGGCCAGGGACGTAATGAAATAAGAAGAGGCGCCATGAAATCTGGGGAGATATCATGGCCCCCGCAATGAAATCCCCCCCCCCTACTCATCACCCCCCTCTTTGCCGCCCCCGATTCTCACTCCCCCCCCCCTCGCTCGCCGCCAGCCTGTGCTGGGCGACCGTCTGCCGTGCAGGGGGCGGCAGGTTTGCAGCTGGAGGCCCCAGCAGGATGCCCCCGGGGGCCTTTCTGGAAACCAGGGGCGCCCAGCAGTTCACAAGCGGCGCACATATCCACATCCACGTGCTCTCGCGGTCTGGGCTCTGGGTCGCGATTGCATGCGCGGTCGCATGGATACCGCTCCGCGCGGGGCCTCCGCGGCAGAAGACAGACGACCGTACCAGTGGGGCCCCAGGCCCGGGAGCCCTGCCCGCGAGGGCGTGGAGACGGAAGTGGTCCCCGCCCGTATCGATTGAGACCTCCCCCTTCTCCTCGCGGCCCCGACCGGTCACAGCCGGGACCAACACCCACCCATCCGACGACTGGATATTGTAGCACCCCGCAGCCGCGGATAAGAGTGCGGGGGAGGCGGGGACGTCTGCAGTCTGCGAGGCTCCGAACAAGCCCGCCGCAAGCGCATCAGTTTCACCAATGATACAACGAGCCCGCCGCAGGCGCCGATTTTTTGTTCAAGCAGTGTGGGTGGGTCGCGGGGTGGGTCGCGGGTGGGTCGCAGGTGGGTCGCGGGTGGGTCGCGGGGTGGGTCGCGGGGTAGGCCGCGGGGTGGGTCGCGGGCGGGTCGCGGGGGGGACGACGCAACAAAGTAAGCAGAATCCTCGCCGTGCTTCCCTGGGCATCGCTCGGACGTCCATTCCCTGTGTTTTTTGTCGGTTCCACGCGTTGCTTTTCGCCAAATGATCAAGGATGCTCCTCGCTGGTCCTCGCCGGAGGAAAGATGCACACGTCCGAGCGATGCCAAGATCCCCACTTCAGCCACGCACCCAGGGACAGTGAAGGACCGCTCGGCCCCCTCCGTCTGCTTTTCCGCACGGGGTCCCCGAGGTCACGATCCCACCCCCAAGGGCTGCTGGTCCTTATCTTATCATCCCGAATCGTTTTTTGTTGAGCAGGGACCGGCCGTCCCAGCACTCCTATGGGCCTATCACGACACGCTCCCAGAACCAAAAATCCCCCAAAACAATGACAGCACTTTGAACACGTAAAGCCCATCTCAGCCAAAAACGTTCAAGTCACATTTCGTGCAAGCCACAAAAGGGGCCTCCTTGCTTGATTCTTGAATGGCCCCGAGGCCTGGCGAGAGCCCCGCGAGGCCGAACACTGCGACAAAACTACCCCCAGAGACTGGCTCCCGCCGCCGCCAGGCGCCTCGGCGGCACCGTGGCCGACGCGCTCTTGACGCTCATTGGCGACGCGCTCACGGACGCGCCGCTCTTGACGCTCACCGGCGACTTGCCCAGCGTCGCCAGCGCGGGGCTGGCACTCGGCGAGGGGCTCGTCGCTGGCAGGGCGACCTCGGGGGGGTCGGCGGCGATCTGAGAAACTTTTTTTGGGGGGGATCTAGGGCAGAGGCTCTCGTGAGCTGTGGGGCCTCTCTCGGGCCTCTGGACACCCTGAACGGGAGCAAGGAGGGGGGGGGAGGGGACAGAACAGACCCAACACACACACACACACACACGAACACAAACACACAAACACACACATACGCACACACACACACACGCACGCACGCACGCACGCACGCACACGCACGCAAACCAACATTTATAAGAAGATCCACGCGAGCGCTTCGCGCGCTTAGGTTCTAGCGCAATAAAGGTCAACATCTCGACACAATGGGCCCATCATTCGCACGAGTCGGAATCGACCAGTTCAACTCCAATGCGCACAGAACGAATTAGCAAAAACAGCGCGTTGATATGTTGATGTTGCTTATCTGTGGGACCGAAATGATTACCTCACGTTCGACGCCTTCGAAGTTCGCGTGCCACATTACCTGTGTATGTGATTGCCCAAGGAGGTAACACCTTTGGATATGTGCTTGGATCGAGAATGAGCGTTGAGGTGGGCAAGGCAAACTGTGGACCTCAAGACTGCGTTGCATGTAAATAACTTCGCGTTTGCGAACTGATGTAACTGTATGGCTACGTTCCGCGAAGTCATACAACTAAATTGCTACGTTCGGATAAGACCAGTCCGAACATAATGCTGATCTTCTAACACACATACACACACACGCGCGCGCATATTGCAACCGTTGTTGGATTACCCCTCTTCGCTAAATGATGAATTGTGTTTAAAACGTATATTGCCTGGTATTTCGAGCAGATGTCGAAACATAATGACCCCATCTTTCAATTGGTCGATACATTCTGATAGAGTGTCCTGTGGTTGCCGTCATCGTGCGTCATGAACGATTCGCTCTGTGAGCACTGGCTTGAGGGCTTCATCACCTCGAGCGACGTCCACAAATTTCGGTATTTCCCCTTCCTCCCCTCCCCATCCACTCCCCTCCACTTGGCTCAGTGTGGTTTTCTGCTCTCCTCCTCCTCCTCGTCCTGCTCCTGGGGGTGTGTGGAGGCAGCTTGAGGCCCAAGCTGGGCAAGCACGTCCCGAGAACTGCGCCAGCGGCTCTCATCGGTTCCCCTCCTCGTTGGCCCCCTCCACTCTGAGATGTCCCTCCCATGGCCCACAGCGTCTTCCCTGCCCCACCAACCTGCGGTCTGCGTGCTGTCTGGGGGCCGAAGATACCCCGTCCCCTCAGGTAGGGATCGTAAGGCCGACGTTTGCAGCCTATTTTGTGCGCGGGTCGGGGACACAACGCAAGCATCACACCAGGACCGCCCCATGCCACCTGCCTGTTCTCGTCCTGCTCCCCGATCCCTGAACTGGCGTTCCATGTTCGCTGTGCTGTGCTTGCTACCTTGGCGCTCGAGCAGATCTTTCCAGCCTCGCTGCCATTCTGCGAATTTGAATATCGTTTCACCAATCCCCATCCCCAGCGGCGTGGCCTGGGCCCCGCTCGCCAATTCACCCCCCTAGATGGGGATGTAGGTCGTTCTCTTCGGGCTCCGAGGGGTGCATCCCCAACTGGGGTGGTACGTTGGTGGGGGTCTCGCTGGGGATGGAGCTGGGGACTGGGATCGGCTACACCCTTTCAGCCGAGCACATTGCGTGACGGACCCTTCGCCGCTCCGGGCTCCCGGCTCCACCAGCGCCGCGGCCCCAAGAAGCCCCCTCCCTGCGCTGCCCCGCATCCGCCCTCCGCCCGTGCGCACGCCGACCGCTGGGCGAAAGGGGGGGGATAGCAAAAGGGGGGGCTTGAGAATCAGCTCGCGTAGCTGACTTCCCCGGCGCCTCCCGGCGCCGGAGGCGGCCATGTATCGAGGAATGGCTTCCTCGGCGAGGCCGAAACCAGCTGCATGCAGCAGATTTCGTAACCCCCCCTTTCCCAATCCCCCCTTTAACTCGCCCGGCCCGAGCACGCCGACCGGCGGCCTTGGCGACGGCCGCGTTCGGGAGCATGGGGCCCGGCGACGCCTTGCTGCCGCAGCACCTCGGCCGCGGGGCGGAGGGGGCGCCCCCCCCTGGCGCTGCGGCGAGGCCCGGCGGCTGTGGCCCCGGGGCCCGCGGGGCGCCTCATTGCCGAAGCCGCGGCGCGCGCTCGACGCGGGCGGGGAGCGGAGCAGAACGGCACGGAACTTCAACCGGGGAACAAAAAGTGGCATAAACATGAAAACTCGGAGGTCCGCGCGGATTTCTCGGATCGGCGCTGGACCCCCCTCCCTGGCGCGTGGAGCGCGCCAGGGGCGGCGCCGGAGGCGCCGCCAGGGGGGTCCAGAGCCGATCCGAGAAATCCGCGCGGACCTCCGAGTTTTTATGTTTATGTCACTTTTTGTTCCCCTATCCAAGGAACCTCCTGCCTTGTCTGCTACCTGGGACGCACAGAGACATACTCATACTGCATGTCCTCCTTGGAGGCGCGCGCCCGACCCGAACATGAAGGATACCCCTCTTGTAGGCATATCGTTTCTCGAGCGGCGTGGCCAGAACGCGCACGCCACGACGTGCTAAAACATAGCTCTCTGGAAGCTCAGGGCTTTTAGCCCTCTTGGAAGGTCAGGGTCGAGACGGCTCGGGAGCGATCGGGGGTGGACAGAACCCCCAACAGTGACACGTCGATCAGTGAGTTGTCCGTTTTCGGTTCTCGAGAGGGCGCTGTGGCCGTTATTTTTCAGGCTTGCGCCCGCCAGGTTTGGGCCTCAGGTCGTTGTCACTAAGCCACGTTTCACTGAATCCCCGAAGCGAGGGCCTGGGGCGGGCCCCCGGAGCTGCCTGGCCTCTCTCGCGAGGCGAGGCGAGCGCGCCGGCCCCGCGGCCGGGCGCCCGCCGCGCGGGCGCGCAAGGGGCCGGGGGGGTGGCCGGGGCGAGAGGAGGCGGGCCCGTGGGGTCCCACGGCAGGCGGGCCGTTCACGGAAGCATGAACGCGTTGCATGCCTGGGCCAGGATTTCCAGGGAGGCCCCCGCGGCGTCTGGAGCACCGCGTCGCGATGCTTTCGATGCGTGGGCCCCGGAGGTCCGGACCACTTCTCGATAGGGCGCCACGAGCGGGAGAGGGAGGGGCCCCATGCAGGGAGGAGGAGGAGGAGGAGGAGGAGGAGGAGGAGGAGGAGGAGGAGGAGGAGGAGGAGAGAGGAGGAGGAGGAGGCCGGACCACTTCTCGATATAGGGTCGGTTTTTCGTCCCGGGTCGTTCTTCGGCGCTCCCGCGACGCCCGGCGAGCGCCCCCCATGAGGGGCCGAGAGCGGCCCCGAGCCGCCTGCTCCGACTGTCTGGTCGGAGCGTCGGATCTCAGGGGGCGGCGCCAGCATGGCGCCAGGATTAATGAAGGGGCCCCAGGACACACAAATAAATACACACAAATAAAATGATTCCCCATATTTTCCCATATTTTCTGGGTTTCTGTCTTCCCCCCCACTTCCCATATTTTCCTATATTTTCTGGGGAATCGAGGACTCATTGTGTCTGTGTGTTTCTTTTCCTCCTGAATTAAGTCGGGCCGGTCCCCCTACACGGGGATTTTCGACGACAAATAAAAAATACCCCCAAAAATACCCTAATGAGGCCGAGAGATACACAACAAATAGTCCCCGGACTATTTTTGGACTACGGTTTGACTACTTTGGGGGTGTTGCTGATTTTTCGTAGAAGTCCCCCTGTAGGGGGACAGGCCCGACTTAACCCTAGCATCAGGGTGCGCGGTAAGGACGCCAGGGCCTCCGAAGCTTTGCGAGCGGGGCGCGGCCAGCGAAAGTGGCGAAAAGGGTGGGCCGAGGAGGCGAGGCTGCAAGGGTACCCTCGGGGGGAGGTTCCCCCTCCTTCCTATGCGGGTTGACTGCAGGTCAGCTGATCTAGCCTCTTCAGTGCAGATTACTGGGGATGGATGGGAAGCGTCGCCCCAGACGCGAAATTCTGGATGGAGAAAGCCGCTACTCGCTCCCCTCGGGCGAGGTGCTGGCCCAACGGGGCTGGTGTGACCCCGTCTTGTTCCCGTGACCCAGCGGGGCTGCGCGACCCCGTGTTGGCCGTGGCCGCCGATCCAATGCACGGCCCTTGTCCTGCGAACAACGGGATGGCAGCATGTTTGGAATCCACGCCTCCAGGCAAGTGCGAGGGGTGTGCCGACATGGCTGGGGGATGGCATGCGCGCACGCCCGCTGGGGCCGCAGCTGGACCTCCCTGGGGAGCACCGGTCCGCGCGACGGGTGTGCCGAAATGGGCAGGGGGGGCGCCAGGCGGACGCCCTCACTCGGGCCGTAGGAGGAGCTCCCACGTGGGGCGCGGTCCACGTGAGGCGCGCGGCGAGATCAGCGGGGGGACGCGAATTATGCGGCCGCCCTCGCTGGGGCCGCACGTCGGTGGAGCTTTCTTTTGGAGGCACGGTCCGCGAGCGAGAGGTGTGCCAGAAAGGGCGGGGCGCGGCCATGCGAGTGCGACCCTGCGTGAAGCTCCACGTCTCGCCATCGCACGGACGTCCATTCCCTGTGTTTTTTGTCGGTTTCGCGCGTGGCTTTTCGCCAGATGATCAAGGATGCTCCTCGATGGTCCTCGCCGAAGGCAAAAATGCACACGTCCGAGCGATGCCAAGACGTGGGGCACGATCTGCGTGACGGGTGTGCCGAGAGAAAGGGAGGGGGAGGATGCGTGGTTCCGGGGAGCAGGGTGGGGCACGGCACGGCGGAGAGGAGGCGCGGGCCCAACTCCACGGGGGGGCTGGGGAAACGTGGGAATCGGATGCGTGGGGACGTGGGAGGGTGGAGATCCTGCCGGGGCTGGGGCAAAAAGCAAAATGGTGGCTACTCGTACGTGCTGGCCAGGGCCATAAGGCTGGATAACAACTTGCCAGGGCCGGAGAGTGGGCAGATCATCCACCTCCAGCTCTGTGCGCCATCTCTCACGGCCTCCCACGGCCCATGCGAGAGTTCTGATGGAGAGACTGCTGAAAATGCCAATCGCGAAAGGACTAGTCCCCGCCGCAAGCGTTCCCCGAGACGCGCGATAGCTCGATCTGTTCTCTGCGGGGTCCCAAGAAGTCCTGAGTCCCTCGGGGATCTACTGACCCGGGTCAAGCCAACTCCCGGTCAGTCAGGCACTTTGGGGATCCCAAAACCGTGTGGTGACATACCGTGCGGTGACCTCGGACCCCCAAGACACCTCACCGCACGGTCCGTCACCGCACGGTCTTGGGACCCTGGAGGCCCCTGTCGCCCGAGACATCCTCGGAGAGGGACTCGAGTCCCAAAACCGTGCGGTGACCCCGAATCCCCACCGACTCACCGCACGGTGTGGTCACCACCCCATTTGGGGGCCCCCGAGCATTGAAAGATCCTGCACCCAAGCCCGGGTCCGTGCAACCCTGGCTCTGCAGGAGCCTGGAAGCTCTGGCGCTCTGGATGACCCCCGTTTGCATTGACCCCCGTCTCTTGAGCCCCGAGTCCGGACCCGCTCCCAGGGGCCAGCTTTTCATCCCTACCCTGACCTTCCAGAGAGCTATCTTTTAGCACGGGAGGCCTAAAGACATAAAAACAACGGCACGAAACAACCTGCAACCAAGACACATAATAGCCCTGGGATGGGTTTTTAAGTCGCGTGCTACTTTGTAGCCCTCCTGGAAGGTCAGGGTAGTTGGTCGTTTCTAGACGGTCCGGAGGCCCTGTGGGGGCCCCCCCCCACGAGTCCGTCCACGGCCATAAGCCTCCCGTCGTGATTTTTGTTGCCACGACGCGAGCATGTCTGGGCCCTGCGATGGGACGCACAGAGACACACTAATACTATATGTCCTCCTTGGAGGCGCGAGCCCGACCCGAACATGTAGTAGACCCATCTTGTAGTGTATCGTCTCCCGAGCGGTGTGGCCAGAAAGCGCCCGCCACGACGCATGTACTACGTAGCACACCGCAGATGCGGATAAGAGTGAGGGGGCGGTGGGGACGTCGGCAGTTTGCGAGACTCTGGAGAAGCCCGCCGCAGGCGCCAAAGTTCAACAAATTATATAACGAGCCCGCCGCAGGCGTCGATTTTTTCGTTAAACCAATGTGGGTAGGTCGCGGGTGGGTCGCAAATTGGTCGCGGGTGGGTCGCTGTTGGGTCGCGGGTGTAGATGGCAGAAAATCCACCCCACAATAATCAACCCGACAAGCGAAGCCGATTAGTAAACGCACACAAGAAATGAATCGAACAAGGCAAGGCTGTTTAGTCAACGCCCAAGGCCGTTTCGTAAACGTCAATTGTCTGGTCCGGGTGGTCTTTCCTCCCTTGAAGGTGGGTCGTGGGGTGGGTCGCGGGTGGGTCGCGGGATGGGTCGCGGGTGGGTCGCGGACGGGTCGCGGTTGGGTCGCTGGGTGGGTCGCGCGGTGGGTCGCGGGTGGGTCGCGGGTGGGTCGCGGGAGGGTCGCGGGTGGGTCACGGGGTGGGTTGCGGGTGGGTCGCGGGGTGGGTCGCGGGGGGTGGGTCCCGGGTGGGTCGCGGGGTGGGTGGCGGGGTGGGTCGCGGGGTGGGTCGCGGGTGGGTCGCGGGTGGGGCGACGACAACAAAAAACAACAACAACAACAAGAACAAGAACAAGAACAACAACAACAACAACAACAACAACAACAGCAACAACAACAGCAACAACAACAACAACAACACCACCACCACCACCACCACCACCACCACCACCACCACCAACAACAACAACAACAAAAACAACAACAACATCATCAACAACAACATCAACAACACCAACAATCATTTTAAGACTGTTCGCTCTTACTTGCCCGCGTGCCATGCAACGTGTATACCCACGCCCTCGATTTCCGCCCCCTTCGTCTTCGAGCGTACCCCCTTCTGGGGGGATTCTTTCTTTTTGCGGGGGCGGGCGGGCTTAGACAAGCGGGCGTGAACGGGCGGGGAATTATTCGGAGGATGGGGCACGCATCTCTTTGCCCACCATTGGAATTAGCGCGGGCCCTGCAAGAAGAAGAAGGGGGAGAACGAGGGAGAGTGGGAGGAAGGGAGGGGGAGGAACGAGGCTAAAGGGGAACACGCCAGGAGAGAGGGGGTGAGGAGGGGGGGGGGACGATTGGAGATAGAGAGACAGAGGAGGGAGGAAGGAGCAGGCTGGAGAGGGGAGGGCGAAGAGAGGAGGGAGGAGGGTTATGGGAGGAGGGTGAGGGGAGAGAGGAAGAGGGAGGAGGAGGGTGGATATGAGGGAGAGGGGAGGGAGGAGGGAGGTTGGATGGGGAGGAAGGGGCAGGAGGGTAAGAGTGTGAACGTTCGAGGAAGTCCTAGGCGAGGGCGTATTCCTCAAGGAAGAGTTGGGCGGGAGCGGGGGTCCCGAGTACATTGTCGGACGTCTCAGGCGGGAGCGCCGGTCGGGCGGGCGGACCCTGACGGGCGGGTCGGGCGGGCGGGACATTCAAACGGGATTTTTGCGTAAATTGCGAGGAAGTATTAAGCGAGAGCGCGATTCCTAAGTAAATTGCGAGGGCGTCCTTGGCGCGAGCGTGGTTCCTGAGCGTCGAGAACGCGATGCTGCAATACATTGCGAGGAAGTCCTAAGCGAGAGCGCCATTCCTGAGTGAATTATGAGGAAGTCTCGGGCGGGAGCAAGGGTCCTGATTAAGGAAGTCTCAAGCGGGAGCGCCGCTTCTGAATAAAATGTAAGAAAGTCTGAAGCGGGAGCGCCCTTCCGGAGTAAATTTTGAGGAAGTCTCAGGCGGGAGCGGGGGTCCTGAGTAAATTGTGAGGAAGTCTCAGGCGGGAGCCGTTGTTGTTGTAGCCCGGGGCCCAACAACGCAATCTGATCCGCAAGGCTTTCCCTGTCAAAAGACAGGGTGCGAGCCCCGGAGGAAGCACTTCAATTGAAAAAACCAATGGGCACCAGACAGGGGCATCAACAATAATTATTCTTCAGAAATGAGAGTTCAACAGCAACAACAGCAACAGCAACAGCAACAGCAACAACAACACCAACAACAACAATAACAACAACAAGCAATTTACCCTCATGCGCGATGTTTCCACACGAAGCATGCGCCCATCATGATAACCATCCACGTAATGGGGGACTCTTGTTCTATAGCGGGGTCTGTTGTTCCCATTCCCAGATCTCCCGCCCAATGAGGTCTTTCAAACACCTCCTCCGAGGAATTTCAACATATCCCGCCTCGAAAACACATGCCCGCGCCTTGCTGCGCCGATGCGAGGCCGCCAGTGGAACCCCAGCGAAGGGTAAAGCACAAGGGAGTATCGACGACAGGATTGCCTTGGTGGGGATGGGGGCTGTCAGCGGTGAGGCAAGGACTGGCCCTGAATAGAAAGGGAGGAAGTATCGAGCAGGGCTGCTGTTGTTGTTGGGAGCGGCGCCAATTCTGAAGAGAGTACGGCGCGAGTCCAGCGTAAAACAAAACGAAGTCTCGAGCGGGAATGCTGGTTTTATTGGGACGGCGGCTTTCGGCGGCGAGGAGGAACACCGCCTTGAGTAAGAAAGGAGGAAGCATCGAGCGGGAGCCGTGCTTTTTGTCGGGACGGGGGCTGTCGGCGGCGAGGAACAGCACCGTCCCGAGGCAAGAAATAGGACATCTCGAGCGGGAGTGTTGTTCTTGCTGGGAGCGGCGCCAATTCAAAAAGAGAGTAGGGCGCCAGTCCAGCGTAAAACGGAAGGAAGTCTCGGGCGGGAGCGCTAGTTTTGTCGGGGCGGCGGTTTTCGGCGGCGAGGAGGAACACCGCCTTGAGTGAGAAGGGAAGAAGCATCGAACGGGAGCCGTGGTTTTGTCGGGACGGGTGTTGTCGGCGGCGAGGAACAGCACCGTCTTCAGGAAAAAGGGAGGAAGCCTCAAGCGGGAGCGTTGATCTTGCTGGGAACGGCGCCAATTCAAAAGAGAGTTGGGCGCCAGTCTAGCGTAAAACAGAAGGAAGTCTTGGGCGGGAGCGCTGGATTTGTCGGGGCGGCGGTTTTCGGCGGTGAAGAGGAGCACCGCCTTGAGTAAGAAGGGAGGAAGCATCGAGCGGGAGCGTTGTTTTTGCTGGGGGCGGCGACGATGAGAGAAAGACTGGCGCGCCAGTCCAAGGTAAAACGGGAGGAAGTCTCGAGCGGGAGCGCTGGTTTTGTTAGGACGGCGGCTTTCGGCGGCGAGCAAGAACACCAGCCCTGAGCAAAAAAGGAGGAAGTCTCGAGCGGGATCGTCGTTGTTGTTATTGTTGTTGTTGTTGTTGCTGTTGTTGTTGGTGTTGTTGTTGTTGTTGTTGTTGTTGTTGTTGTTGTTGTTGTTGTTGTTGTTGGGGGGCCATCTTTGGCGGTCCCCCAAACCGCTCGAGCGTGAGCCTCATTTTCAATGAAAATGTAGCCGGCGCCTCGGCGAGAGTGCCAGGGCGCCTTCCAGGTGTCCAACAATAATAATTGTTTAGTACTTAACATTCAACAACAACATCAACAACAATAACAACATCAACAACAACAACATCAACAACAACAGCACCATCAACAACAATATAATAAGAGCGACAACATCACCGCAGCAAGCAGAATTCTCACCACGAGCTCCTTATTCAGCCACGCACCCAGGGACAATCAATGACCGTTCGGCCCCCTCACTATGATATAAGATTTCTCGGCGCGCGCGTCACCCCTGGGGGGGCGACGCGCACATAGCATTGTGAGCGTTTTTTTGGTATTCGGCGTTTCGACATTGGGCGGAAGGGGGGGGGGAGGGGGGGGGGGGTCTGGCTCCGGACCTCTGCCCAATGCGACTGCTTGCAACAGGGCGTCCACCATGGGGGAGTCTCCACCTGCTCGAAACAGGCGCCAAAAAGCACCCAAGATCCACTCCAAGGGGGAGGGGAGAGGGGGGGGGCGAGGGCTCGCGCCAATCGGCAGAGCAATGAACAAAAAACGATCACACTTTGAGCAGGGACCGACCGTCCCGGCACTTCTATAGGCCTACCACGACATGTTCTCAGAACCCAAGCATGTTCTGAGAACAAAGCAAACGTTCTTAAAACAGAAGCCCGATGTGTCAAAACAAGACAATGTGAGCCAGAAATGTTCTAGGACCATGTCGCGCAGACCACAGCAGGTTCTTAGAACATTCTTGGGTGGACCTGTAGGCGAGCTGGGACTCCCTAGGACGCTTCGCCACTGCTTGAACATTAGAATGTTGGGGTGTCGCCGATGTCTGGGCCCTCTGGCCCGCCCCTCCTGCATGCCCTCCCGTGCCGCCGCCCCGCCGAGGGCCCCGTGTGTAGGTGCCCGAGGCCAGGCACATGCAGCGGTTCTCCTTGGCGGAGCAGGCGTGGCACCGGCTGAACTCCGCATGGTTCGTCACCACCTGGGCCGGGGAGGACGACGGCGGAGGAGGAGGAGATGGAGGAGAAGGAGGAGATGGAGGAGGAGGAGGAGGAGGAGGAGGAGGAGGAGGAGGAGGAGGAGGAGGAGGAGGAGGGAGGAAGGAGGAGGAGGAGAGGAGGAGGAGGAGGAGGAGGAGGAGGAAGAGGACGCGGCGGCCGCAGGGACGACGGCCCGGGAAGTTCCAAGAAGGAGCCCCACAAATTACACCAAAGAGAAACCCCAATCAGTGGATGGTTTGAAATGGGATCGAACAAAAAATCGATAAAAAGATCGACCGGGAACCTGGGAATCTGGATCCCGTCGAAATCGGCCCGGAACCAATGACCAAGAACCCGGGAACCCGGAACCGGGAACCCGGGAACCCAGCCGGCCACCAAAATCGGTGGGAATCGATCGCCAAATCTTGCAATTTCCTTAATAGGACCCTCCAGTGCAAGCACTGATTAAGGAACTTCAGATACAGTAGATGCCCTTCCACAAGAAGCCTTCCACAAGAAACCCAGCCCTGAGACCCCAGGGCGTCCACGGATTTCTGGCGTGGGAGCGTCGCGCTCCCCGTCGCAAAACCATTGAAACCCAAGAAACCTACAGCAAACTGGAGGCAAGCGGGGTGTTTCTTGGCATGAGCTTCCACTGCAGCGGCTCCGAGATCGAGGCACCGGGCCAACATTAAGAATACTCATAAAGGCTCACCGCGCCGACCTTGCAGACGTGCTGCATCGGATTTCTGCGTGGATTCCTGCTACTGCAAAACCCCGAAACGGCGCGTGAAAAACGAAGTGAATTTCGCGTGGATGCTTGTTTGTCTTCATCCTGGCTTACAGAAAAACGCACGAAATTCACCTCGAAATCCAAAACGAAATTCTCCAGGACACTCTGGGCCCATCCCATCGTTTTCCGAACGAAATGCGCTCTACGATGTTGGCGCGATGAAAAGGCTTGCGAAAGCTGGAACCGCGAGCACATGGGAGCGGGCCGATGAAAGCCACGGCCTTCTTTCTTGCCAAACGTGCCCCTCCCGTGGAGAGGGCACTTACGCCGGAAGTGCCTCGGGCAGGCAGCGCAAGGGGGGGAGCAACAACGTCAGGACGGGGCAGGAAAAGGGGGGCCCGGCAGGAGTAGGACACTAGCGACAGCACGCTTACCCTGCCATCTCCTTCCTTCCGCGCGCCCGCCCTGTTCTGCCCTGGCCTGGTGATGCGAGCGCCCAGTCAACGAGCATCACCATTGGAAACGCAAGCCTGTCTCAGGACTCCGGTGGGCACCCCTGCGAATCGCAAGCTTGTCTCGCCCAGCGATTCGCCAGCGAAGGAGCCCCCGACCGTAACTTTTTTTCTTCGGACCAGGCCGGCACGCAAACGCGGGGCAGGCAAGGACAACGGGAGAGCAGCAGACAATTTTTGTTTTGGTCTGCGGGTCGAGAGCGAGCCTCTTCCGGTTAAAAGCTAGGCGGGCTACGCAAAGCTCTAATCGGGGAGACAGAGCACAGGCGGGCGGGGCAGCAGACAGAGGGGCCGAGGAGGAAAAAAGGAATGACAAAGCAAGGGCGAGAGAGAAAAGAACCGACCGGGCCGCCAGACGGGGAGGCACGGGCACGGGGACGGAAAGGAGGAGGATAAGAATGCGGAGCGAATGAATAAATAGCCTTCGTGGTCCAATGCGTCCCTGCTATACGTCTGCCTGTGCCCTCGCTACTTCTAACGCTTCCTCCAACGCGATAGCCTCCCCAGCAAAGGAAGACATCGGATTGATAATAAACTTGCCTGCGAATAGCACCGACATCGTTACTGCGCACCTCCTTTGCGAACAACGGCCTCCACGAACAAAACTGCATCCGAGCATGTCCCCGCACGAGTGCCCGTATCTGTGTGCATCAAGAGGTCCTCGGCTGAAATGCGTTCATGGTGAAACCACGACTTTCGGATGACCTTTGTGTAGCCCACCAAAACAATTAGCTCGGACGTTCCACTCGCTGGTGCCAGCGAATCACACTATCAATATCGCGTGCTGGGCGCCACCCAGAGCACACGCTAGAAATCGTGCTGCTGATGCGCTCGAACATCGGAGCCAGGCTTGGATTCGAAAGCGCGGTTGTACCAGTTAACGTCCCAGCTTGAGGTCTGCAATTAGAAATCAGCCATGCGTCGCGCGGGCCCCCCCCCATTGCACATTACGGGCGCCGTCACCATGAGAGTCTGGAAAACATGAACGGCGGTTCTAATCCGTCTACGGCCTGTCTGGACCAGGGAGTTCGCAGGTTCTCTAGCTGTGGCACTGGGATCGAACAACTTCCATGCTTCGCACAGGTGCGACTCGAACTGCGGAACACATGCCATCCAGTCAGACGCCGCGACGCAGATGTCGCGCTTGCAACGCCAGTCAACACGGCAAACGGTCACGCACTCTTCTCTCCTCACCATGCGGTGGCCATTGCCATCGCGTTCGAAGCCACATGCTCGTCGTTTGCGCTCGCTGCCCAATACAAGGAAGGATCCCACCATTGTGCGTCGGACGCATTGGCACCGTCTGGTGACCATGAAGATTGCTCTCGCCATGCATGTTTGAAGACGGCTCACAAGATGCGACTTTACAGTGGCCGGATGTTCAACGCCGGGAACTGCTTCTCTATGAACCTGGCACTGCGGATCGTAAATTCTTCGTCGCTCTCCAGGCTTGTGGGGCACACCGAGAATGCGTGGTCACATATTGAACTCGCTCCGTTACGCTTTCAGCGATATGTGTTTTACTAAATGCCATGATGCGGATCCATCTGCTGCGCCAGCCGCTGGTCCTTTGGACCGTGGCTGTAGTTTGGGAGCGATGCCCCCTGGCCCTGTCAGAACCCTGACATTGCGCCAACAGTTCTCCTCGGCAACAGCGAATATACAAACCGCTGGATTAAAAGGTGGAGACCGTGGGGATCGAGAAAGACACGGTTGGCCTCCAGTTAGGCCACGGGGCCCCGGGACAATGTTGGGGTTGGGGCCGATTTGGGAATCTCAGATGCATCTCTCACACCTTTTTTAATATTACAATGCCCAACTGGGGCCAGCGTCCGAAAATGCGATTCCGCCGGAGACTTCTTCAACGCAACTTTCCGATCGCCGTCCAGGGCGATCTGAAAACTTGCCATGGCATCTGAAAGTGGCGATTCTGCGTGGGAATTCCGCCGAAAAAAATCAGATCCATTCTCATGCCGCTTGAGTTGCGATATCGCCTGAGGGTTCCTCGCAAGGTGTTTCACGGCCGCTTTTCACGCCGTCGAAGAGTGGCGACTTCCTTTGGGCTGTCCTGACAACCGCGCGTCTCGTCCACCCCTGCGTCGTCGTTCCTCCGTTCGGGTCACGAGTCTGTCTGGGAGTCATCTTGGGATCGCTCGAAGGTCGAAGCTTGAGGTTTTTATCGATCTGCGAAGACCCAGGGGGGTATGATCAACGCTGGTGACAGTATCGCCGTCAGTAGTAAACGGCACACCCAAAGCTAACATAGCACGTGCGAGTTCAAACCTGTAGGTCTGATCGGCCACCACCGACAAATGTTCAACACACTCCCTCGCAACCAGGTCGCATAGCACGCATTCCGAAGATGATGCCGTCCACGTGGAGCTCATTCTTGAAGTCCTGCACCATGCGGGTAAACTGACCAATGCAAGATGCTAGCAATAATATTGTCTGTCTACTCATATGAGATGGGCCACATATGACCGCAGGCTGCAAGATATTGAATCTTGAATTCGAAGCTGCAGACTTAACGAATACAATTTTGAACAGACGCCCAGCTTGCCAAATCAGTGGGATTCTGTGAAAGTTCGGGGGGGGGGGGGGGAAATTTTGGTACGCCAACAAACTCAATGATCTTTCACCTCGACGGGTCCAGGAACCCAGAATCGGAAAGTCGTCGTGTGAAGCACTTTCAAAACTCAAACACAGCGAGCTGTGGCGCCCTGATGATCTCAGAGACTGCGCCGTCGCTGCTGGTTGCTTTACCCGTCTTGAATTTGGCCCTCCTTGCAAAACGCTCCAAAGCGAAAAAACAAGCCCTACACGTCCGTCTAAACGCTCGTTCTTCGCCACGGCCTCCGAACTAGATATCTACCAAGACTGCCTCTCATGTGCGTTCCGATCATCACCAGTGCATCGCGTGCCAAAAAAATGGTCTTCTCCGCCATACGGCCCTGTCCGCGGCGGCGTTGCCGTCGATGATCAGAGTCGCGGGCGTGCGGCGCGGCCGGTTCGCCAGAGGGAGGCTCTTTAAGCGTAGCTCGTTCCTCGTGCTCTTGGCTGTTCGAATATTCTGCCAAAAATATCGGACCAAATCTTTCTTCGCATCTGGTCTTGCATTGGCGACAGCTTTCGGGACTATCTTGGTCGGGTTGCTTACCTCGCCTTTGGTTTGCTGCATTCGGTCACTCGGCTCCGAGTAGTCTGGTAGCGGCTGTGAGTAGCAGCTCGCAGCATAGGTAGGCAGATCGACCCCGACGCTGTTACTGCAAACCTGCTGAAAACAGGATAGATCGTAAGGTGTAGAAGGTGACCAACCCTTCAAACAAACCGTAGACCTTTTTATCATTCATGATGTTAAGTGACGTCAGCTGAGCAAACACTGGCCTACGATCAGAACGCTTCCAGAAATTGTGCACCGAGAGGTTGGCAGACACGCCAACAAAAAATCGGTATAGTACTTGACGGTCCTAGCGGCTGCCATTTCGTGGGTTCACTACCGCTTGGTCGAAAATTACCCATTTGTTTTCAAGAGTTGCAAAGTGTATTGAGCAGCCTGCTTCCCAAGGACATCATCCAAGAAGCAACTACTGATATTCTTGAATGGGAATGACTCTGACGTCTGTCCAAAACCGCGTCCCCCGTCAGAAAGTTGAAGCTCGCTGGCAGCTGGACATTGGCGTCGACCCACAAAACAACTTCACACCCCACGGAGGAGTAAGCTGAACGAACTCGCTGGGCGAACAACGAAGTTTCCTCAAACAACCGCTCCGCTCTCCCATCGTCGTCAAGATGGTCTAAAAGATGAGCAGATGTGAATTCGGTTGCCCACTGCGGCGTTGAACCAATCGTCCTCGGAACTGAACTTACTGAGCGCCCGCATCCCAGGTCTAGGAAAACGAAGGGCACAGCCACACTGTCCAACAGACACAATGATCACAGTAAATATATTCACGAAAAATGGCCCCATTTAGGCACCTCCTGTAAAAGCGCCCCGAAGTCCCCCGTAAATGTCCGAAGCTCTTTGCTACTTTCTTCGAGGCGGAAGCCATATTTTACATGCATTCAAAGAGACGACTGCGAAACTGTTGCCCGACAATGCCGGGCCGTCTCATTTGGACTGGAACGCACTCAACTCGGAGTCGAATGCCTGCACCGTGCACTGAAAGTTCTGCTGAACTGCCGGGCTGTCCCACACCATTCGGCCCTCCACGCTCACTGCGCCCATCGCGATCTCCCCGGAAGAGTTCTTCACTGTGAGACGAAAGTCGGGGGGGCCTGAATAACGAACAATCACTCCTGGGCCATTATCCTCATGAGAGTTCCGTTATCGGCAGAGATCGCTCTACCCTTCGCTCACTCTAAACTACAAACCTTGAGCCAAAATGGCTTAAACCGAAATGGCCATCCCCCCCTCCCTCCCCCCCCGTCCCGTCCTGCCCGCCACCCCCCCGCTGGGAAACCCAAAAGATGCCGAAGACGCGATTACCCGCACCTCTCCCGGGGAGCCTTCTGACCAGGACTCTAAGGCGAACTCTGCCGCGGCGACGAGGGCCTCCGAGGAGGCCCTCAAATGCGACGACGACGGAAGGGTAGCGGCATCCAAGTAAGAGAAGAAGAGAGAACAACACAATGAGCGTAAACCTTCGGAGGTGCGCGCACTCCTCGTCGCTGGCCGCCCCCGTGGCGCGCGGAGCGCGACCGGGGGGCCCAGCGCAACTCCAGGCAGTCCGCGCGGACCTCTGAACATGGATGTTGGGCGCCCGAATTATCCGGGGTAACTCGGGTCCGGGGTAACTCGGGTTTGGATTCCCGAAAAAGGAACCCGAGTTATCCCTGACCCGAGTTACCCCTGATGATTCTGGGGCTCTGGACGCCCGAGTTATCCGGGGTAACTCGGGTCCGGGGTAACTCGGGCTTGGATTCCCGAAAAAGGAACCCGAGTTATCCCTGACCCGAGTTACCCCTGATGATTCTGGGGCTCTGGACGCCCGAGTTATCCGGGGTAACTCGGGTCCGGGGTAACTCGGGCTTGGATTCCCGAAAAAGGAACCCGAGTTATCCCTGACCCGAGTTACCCCTGATGATTCGGGGCTCTGAGGATGTATGCTCGTGCAGCCGCTGTCCTTCCTCGAGCATCGGCACCCTGACCGCCTCTCGGCCCCGCCCTCCCCCCGGTGCCCGCTCGTGGACGCGCTGGGGGGTATGGGGACGTGTCGCCTCCCCCTCCTCCTCCTCCTCCTCCTCCTCTCCTCCTCCTCCTCCTGCCCTCCTGCCTCCTCCTCCTCCTCCTCCTCCTCCTCCTCCTCCTCCTCCTCCTCCTCCTCCTCCTCCTCCTCCTCCTCCTCCTCCCTCCTCCCCCCGCCCGGACGCGAGCAGCGCGGCGGCGCACGAGCCTGGACGCCGCACGAGGCGCAGGCGCAGGAGCGCGGCGCGACCTTCGGCCGCAGGCTGTTCGAGGCGTGGGCGGGGCACCAGACCTGCAGAGGGCGGGGCCGCGGGCTGTCGGCATCGGCTCGGCTCGGCAAGAAGAAGCACCAATACGGGAGCAAAAAGTGGCATAAACATAAAAAACTCAGAGGTCCGCGCGCTCGGCGGCGCTCCGGCGCCGGCGCCCTGGCGCGCTCCGCGCGCCAGGGAGGGGGGTCCAGCGCCGATGCGAGAAATCCGCGCGGACCTCCGAGTTGTTATGTTTATGCCATTTCTTGTTTCCCTAATCAAGCCCCGCAGCGCCGCCCAGGGCATCCAGCCACCCACCCTGGCGGGCTAAGCAGGGAGGAGGGGTGGGGGCACGAGCGGGTGAATTCTCACACCCGGTGTCAGAGGCCAGGATCCAGTGTTGACGCTAAAAACGTGCTTCCGTCCTCCTCTCCCCCTCCCTCACGGAGTCGGTTTCGCCTGCGGTCGGTGTCGCCAGGGTCGGTCTCGCCCGCGAACGGTCTCGCCCGTGATCGGTCTCGACCGCGAACGGTCTCGAGCGGGGTCGGCTTCGCCCGCAGTCGGTTACGCCCGCGAACGGTCTCGCCCGCGAGCGGTTTCGGACGGGGTCGGTTTCGTCCCAGGTCGGTTTCGCCCGCGGTCGGGTTCGCCAAGTCGGCCTTGCCCGCGGTTGGTTGCGACCGCGGCTGGTCTCGCCCGGGGCCGGTTTTGCCCGCACACGGCTTCGCCCGCGAATTGTCTCGCCTGGGTCGGTTTCGCCCGGGGCGGCTTTGCCCAGGGCCGGTTTCGCCAGTCCCCTGCCTCGTCGCATGCGCCTTCGTCTCCGTCGGGATCGCGGCGGGCGGGACGCCTCTCGGGCGGGTCGGGCGGGCGGAGCAGTAGATCAGGCGCGCGGGCTTGCCAACTAGCGAGCGAGCGGACCCAAACGGCCGGGTAGGGTGGGCGGGACCCTGTCGGGCGAAAAAAGCTGCAAAATGACGGGAGCGAAACTGACCGTGCAAAGCAGACTAGGCGAAACCGTCCTGGCGAAATTGGATGGGGTGAAACCGACGGGGCAAAACCGACCGCGGGCGAAACCAACCTGCCCCAAGGGGGAGGCGCAGAGATGCGCGTGTGGGAAACGGGGGGATGACGACGATGACGATGACGATGACGATGACGATGACGATGACGATGACGATGACGACGACGATGATGATGAAGATGAAGATGATGATGATGATGATGATGATGATGATGATGATGATGATGATGATGATGATGATGGTGATGATGATGATGATGAATAGGATGATGATGGTGATGATGATGCTGGTGATGGTGATGGTGGTGCTGATGCTGATGCTGATGCTGATGCTGATGGTGATGATGGTGATGGTGATGGTGATGGTGATGATGATGATGATGATGATGATGATGATGATGATGACGATGACGATGACGATGCTGATGCTGATGCTGATGCTGATGCTGATGCTGATGCTGATGCTGATGCTGCTGCTGCTGCTGCTGATGATGATGATGATGATGATGATGATGATGATGATGATGATGATGATGATGATGATGATGATGATGGTGATGAACGCCACTCCGCCTGCACACACACGGCTGCCCTCGCAGTGGCACCCGCGTGCAGCGGGACGAGAGGGAGAGGGGAGAGAGGGAGGAACAGCAGCACACAGCAAGAGCAGGAGCGAGCTGGCAGCCGTGGACCTGCGCCCGCCGGAGGGAGGATGCGCTGAGGAGGAGGAGGCGGAGGAGGAGCAGGAGGAAGAGGAGGAGGAGGAGGAGGAGGAGGAGGAGGAGGAGGAGGAGGAGGAGGAGGAGGAGGAGGGGGGAAGAGGGAGGAGGAGGAGGAGGAGGAGGAGGAGGACTAAAGGGACTAAAGGGCTGACGACAACGAACGTCGAATCACGTGAATTACTGGCGGAGGTCTTCAAGATTGGCTTCTCTTACAATCTTGGGGGGCCCTTTCACACATGGGTGAAGGCCTCTCCTGATCCTCGCCAGATTCTGCCTCCCCTTCGGGGTGGGTGCAACACAAGGTCTGCAGAGGTGCCTGGGGTCAGTAGTTGCCGTGAGACCGCACTTACTGCAGAAGACGAGTTTGAATTCTCCCCAATACTGTAAGGCGTGGGACTCGTCCAAAACCTGCCCTCCCAGAGCCCGTCGACCGTTTAAGGGCGCGATTCCTGGGGGAGGGGCACCGTGCGCACACACTGTCGGGGCAGCAGCCATGAACCTCGAACGGTTCACGAAAACCTTGCATTTACGGCAATAAAACTTCGTGCCGAGCCTTCTCCACTCGTGCTTCGAGGCTCTCATGGCCAGCTCGAGCCGCAGGATCCGATCGGGGCGAGGGGCCGAGGGACGACTTTCGGTCCACGGGTCAGCTCGGATGGCCGCCGCAAGAGCTCTCCGCGCCCTACGTCGGATCAGGAAGGTCTCGGCGTCCACCGCATCGGTGGAGGGAACACTCGTTACAAATTCGGTCCATGCAGCCGACGCTCCTCGGGAGGCCAGCTCATCAGCACATTCGTTACCCACCGCCCACCACAAGTCTCGGGCCGTGCGTATATCTCCTGACTCACGGTGGGATGGGGCCCATTCGATTAGGACGGGGTCGGGGCCACGAGCTCGCACAGCTCGGCCTATTCTGAACCAGAGGTCGGCATTGGGACAGCTGAACGACGGGGAGAGATGCCGACCTCTGTTCCAGCCGTCCTGGAGGGGCCTATGATCAGTGACATACCTGAGCGGCCCAAACGTGCATTCGAGGGCCTCCGCGAAGGCCGCTAGCTCGGCCCTCGGGACCGTCTGACGGGTGCCCCCAAGACTACAAACGATACCCGCCGACGGGGTCCAACCACCAGCTGGGAGAGCTTCGAGGGCACAAACTCCTGAGCCAACTCTCCTGCGGCGGGGGTCCGAGGAGTGCTCCCCCCAGAGCCGTCCCCAAAAACCGTGAGGAACCCGTCGGGGCCTCTCGGGACACTCGCGAAATCACCGAATTCGGAGCGGTGAGGAGGGAGGTCGAGGTCGAAGGAGGGGGTCGTGGCCTCGACACTCGGAAGCCCACGCAGCCAATACGAAGGCCATGCCTCGTGGCACGCGGTGGCCCGAGGGATGAGGTGATCAGATTTCTCGAAATCGGGGTGGCCCTGGTTGCAGGCGCAAGCCCATACACGATGGAAAAGAGAGTCGGCCGCCTGGCCGCAGCGGGGGCAGGCGTCAGGAGCCTCGTAGCCGGCCTCCGCGCGCCTCTGCCTGGTCCACTGGCCCGCCGCGACGACCGCCACGTCGAGCGCCCAGAGGTCGTCGTCCCCCCGCTTCTGGAACTGCTGCATCTCCCGCTTGATCATGAGCATGCCGGTGCCGCCCTCGATGTCCATGGACCCCTGGTGCAGCGCCGCCTGCTTCCAGAGCTTCCTGTCGATGGAGCGCTCGAAGTCCGAGAGCAGCTCCACGTAGTCCGCCGCCGCCTCCGCGAAGCTCGGCTGGTTGGGGCTGGGGAACCGCCAGCCCACGTCCTCGTCCGTGACCCAGAAGTCGTGGTCGACAGGGTCCCATCCTGCGTCAAGGAGGGTCGCCACCGTGGCCGAAACTGGCCCACGCACTCTCCTCCAGCGGCTCTCACCCGCCAGACGGAGCCTCCTGAGCGCCGGCTGCCAGGCCTTGGCGATCCTGGCGTGCAGCTCGGGGTGGGCGAACCACTGGTCCAGCCAGGCCGCCAGCTGCTCGCGCGGGATGCTCTTGGCTGGGTCGCCTCTGCCGTAGAGCATGGCTAGGGTGCTGGTGAGGCACCGCCCTGGCCCGCGCCCTGCTGCCGCCTGCGCCGCCTGCCTCCTCAGCCTGAGGACCTCGTAGTGCGGCAGGCCCTGCACCTGGTGGCCGTAGGTGCCCTGCGCTCGGGCCCCTGTCGTCCAGAGGCCCTTGGTCACCACTTTGAGCCTTGCCATCCTGCGCATCTTCCTGATGGCGTGGGCTCGCCTGGCGGCCTTCTGCATTCTCTCTCTGCCTTTGCGCCGTGTGCGCGTCCTCGCGGCGTTGCAGTCCACGCCCAGGTCGGCGAAGTTGCCCTCTGCCTTGGCGGGGGCGCCGCGCTGCTGGAGGCCCTTCGCAATGGCGATGGCCAGCTTCGGGGAGCTCGCTATCACCGTGGTCTTCGGGGAGACCGTGAGGCCCGCCTCCTTCAGGCACTCGCCCAGCTTGGCGCCGCTGTCGATCAGCTGCTTCTCCACGTTGGCCTCGGTGCCCTGGGAGCGCAGGACCGTGTCGTCCACGAACGTCCAGAGGCCGATGGCCGCCTGCTTCGTGAGCTGCGCGCGGTGGAGGATGGGCCCCATGAAGGCCTTGGCGAGCCGCACTCCCTCTGGAGAGCCCGCCAGGATGGAGCGCCACGGCTGGATCTCCCTGCTGACCCACTGCCGCTCCTTCAGTAGCCTCGGTGCCAGGTGCATCTGCGCCTCGAGGCAGAGCACGATGGGCGGGTAGCCCTGCTCCAGCGCGTGCTGGACAAGCTTGACCACGCAGATGCTGTCGTAGAACTTGGCCAGGTCTAACAGCAGCGTGGCTGTGGTTATTCCCAGTTCTCTCGCTGTTTCGTCAAGAGTGGCTCGAAGGATACTGGCTCGTAGAGCCGACGAGCCTCGTATTGCTGTATCCCAGAACTCGCTCAGGTTGGCACTCCACTCGCTCGTGATGCTGCCCCTGAGCTTGCTCCACGTCTTCATGACGAACGGGAGCTGGCCGAGGATCCTGTCGCCCCCTCCCTTTTCTTTGGGCGCGACGGAGCCGATGGTCGCAAGCATCTGCCTTGGCCACGCTCCCACCTCCTCGATGTCATTGAGGAGGTCGATCATTCCTTGCCTCCCTTCAGTCGGGAGCCTTTGCACCTCCAGCGGCCCGACGTCGTCGATCCCCTTGGCCTTGGTGGCCGAGATGGCGGGGGGCAGGCGGTCCAGCTGCTGCAGCTGGAGCGGGGCCAGGGGTTGCTGCCAGGCGCGGCCCATGACCATGTGGATGCCGTCGAGGAGCT